ATATAATGTATAATATATAATGTATAATATAGACATACAATTGCAATGCAAGTTAGTTTCTGGGTAAGCATGAAAGGAACTGCCTGAGACATATATGAACGTGGAGTGCTAAAAGCAGGATGGAAAATTCCAAATGTTTCTGGCAGTAATGTGAACAATGGCAAAGTTAGAAACCATGATCGAATATGCCCATACCTGGTCCTTCTTGTAAAGGACAATACTTCGGTTTCCTCCTGCAGTAATTTCAATCACCTTTTGTGATGTGTTGTTTTCTGTGAAAGAATAAAAAGATTTTCAAAGGAAAAGACTTTGAAGAGACAGTCATTATCGTCAAGGAGTTCAGTGCCCAGATGAGGAACAGTAAAAAACCACTCAGATAGTAGGTGTCTGTCTAAAAGTTGATTCTATGTGACCATTACCCACGATGGTAAATCAAGCAGCAAATGGAATTACCCATTGTAGAATCTGTTGGGATGACCAGGCAAGCATGAGACATAATATTAAGCCTCTCAGCACAAACGTGAAATCAAGAAAGCAAACATCTCCCTGAAAGAAACTAATACAGATTGTACACATCTGTAATCATCATTACCCTGACAGGATTTTCCAGTATTCCCTGGTATCTTGATGGGAAGTGGTATCAACTGGTTAGGCTCTCTCTCATCTTCCAGCTGCCCTTCTTCACCAGAACCAAACGAATAGACTTTGTCCAAGGAGGGGACATAGACCAGGGTGTGCTGTCTGGTCAGAAAAAGAAACACGGTCATAATAACCTCATAGCACTGGGCTAGATAGAAAAAAATTTACAGGTACGTTTTCACAGTGGATAGCTGAGGCTTTTCTTTCAAAGTCCTGACAGTCCAGGTATAGAATCCCTTTAACTAAAGTCTTAGGACACTTCCTTACATAAACATTCAGCAATAAAGAAACATATGGACTCAAATTTCCTATACTATCTGCTAATGTTTGTGATTTACTCTTGTTTCAGATACAAAAATAAAGTGTTACGCATTGCTGGCTTCATGCCCTTCTGTTTTCAAAGGCGCACCTTCTATGCTGCTGAGACTGATACAAAGCCCAAGGAAGCTGACAGGAGACTTTTTCTGGCCTAATTCCAGAAAGGCAGAATGAAATTGTATAATTATCACTAGTCTTCAGTTCTTTCTAAAGACCTCCCGTATGTCAAAGTGGATGGGAATTTGGTGATCTTCCCAATGCAGTTTTTTGACAGTTTTTTGCCCTTTGTAACCCAGTATACCCTTTGTTTCTTAAAAGAGAAAAAACCCAAGAGCTTCTAATGGCTTTTGCAGCTCTGTCCCTCTGCATGGGCTGAGGGTTCTGCTTTCACTGGGGTGGTGGCAGGAGGGTGGCTTACCCTTGAAAAGTGGACAGTATTCTGACAGCGCTGACGTGCTGGGACACAGGGATTTGGACATCCTGATGACTCCCTCCCCACTTCCCTTCAGTGATTCCTCTAAGACCTTGACCTTAGAAGGCACATTATTGGTATTTCCTCACCTTCCACAGGCAACTTGTGAAACTCTTGCTCCCCACAGCTCAGCCACCACACGAGGCATGAGCTCATTCCGGGTGGAGTTGTGACCAAGCTGGCCAGCCCCTCCCGCTCCAAAGGTGCACACCAACCCCTCCTTGAAGATAAAGAAACAACCAACACAAGATGAAGGAACAACAGGATCACTATGTTATTAATGGCATTCAAATGGTCACCACTAAGAGCGAGAATCAGTAAGACACAGTATGCTATATGGTAGAGTTCACATCAAGCCTAACCATACACTGTAATGTCCAAATCATTTAACTCCTGAGAAAAGCAATCTAATTCCTAAGAATAGGTATCTGTTGCTGAAGAATTTTACTTGTATGGGTAAACCCTAGTGAATTAGCTACTGTTCACATGTTCTGAAGTCCCCAGTATGCTATAAAAAAGAAAATATTTTCAAGAAGTGCTGAGGTTGAACTGCACCTCTTTGCCCCAGGATTCCCATTCACCATGTTTGCACACAGGTGAGAGGAATATGACAAAAGGCCAGTTTTCCCCAAAAGCTTATTTAGCATCCCCTGGGGATCATATTCAGACTCAGATGGAAGCAGGTCCGCGTGCCTGCTATCCTAGTTTCTAAATGCCATTGATATCCTAATTCCTAAATGCCATCCTAATTTGTCCATGCTGACTTTTAGCAGTGTATCTTTCCTTGCAGGGTGAGGTCTCAGATGCTGGCTTCAGACTCACCTTGGAGAGAACTGCAGTATGATCTGCCCCACACGAGATAAATACAGCCTTCCAGTGCTCTAACGCTCTGATGTACGATGGGCAGTCCCTGTCTGGAAAGAAGACAGCACTGATAAAGTGAAAGAGTACTGGAGGGATCTCAGCACAAAGATTTAGAAAATAGGAGGGTTTAGCACTTTTCAATCCTTCCTTACAGCAATCATGTATTTACCACTTCAGTTTGGGTTGTTTTCTACCCTCCGCTATAACACACTCCTTCTCACAATGTTCTGCCTTTTTCATAGTATTTTCATTTACATTTGATGTGTAACAAAATGCAGCACTTTCACACCTGCTTGCCAAAGGTACTTCAAAATATGTGACTCTCAAGGGAGTGGACTCATTCAGCTCCCACTGACATCAACTTCTGTTTCGCTAGGACAACTCTTTTCTCGCCTTCTAGGTTTGCAGACAATGGGTGATTTTAATTCTTCTCTCACCGTGTGTTTACAGAGAATTAAAGAAGGCAAAGAGGGATAAAATTAATTTATTTCATGCAAGACTACCTGGAGAGAGAGTGGGAATGGAAAGAGACCTGAGACATATGGCTTTAAGAGCCCACACTTTCCAGCTGCCCACATAAAGTTATTAAATTGGAAGTTATCTTGAAGAAATACAGCCTGTAAATCCCTTGTCCCTGGTTGCCTTTCCTGGTCAGGAAACAAAGAACTTATCCAGATATACTTTTTTCAAAAGGCTTTGCTGTCCACTGCTTCTCCAAAGGGGCTTGACAGTCCTGAGAAGCCCCTCACTGACCAGGAAAACACCTTCTGACTGCTGTCCTTCCTTACCTTCTGTGTCTCCCAGTCCCAGTTGTCCAAAATTGTTCTTCCCCCAGGAGTACACAGCTCCAGAGAGTGACACGGCAGCGCTGTGAGCTCCTCCAGCAGCAATCTGAGCAAGTGGGATGCCCTTTAGTCTTTCCACCAGCTGTGGTTGGGGGGTGAGTGTGGCTTGTCTCCCCACTCCAAGCTGTCCATGGGCGTTCTGGCCCCACGTGAAGAGCTCACCTCCTTCACAAACACAACAAAAGAAACCAGCTCAGCCTCTCTGCTTCCCTTCAGTCTTTGCACCTTGGGAGCAGGAGCGAAAATCAGTGCTGTTTCTAGGGACCTAGCTCTGAGGTGAGACCATCATCTGTAGCCAAATCTCCCTGTTTGCTTCTGACCCCTCTGGGGCAGTCCCATGCTGCCCATGTGACTCAGCACAGCAAGAACAAAGGCCGGGTGTTACCACCATACTTGCAAGAAGTTCCCAACCTGAGAGGGGCTCCAACTTAAGAATGACCAGGTCTGGTGACTGCAGAGTGGGATGGCCACATGTGCTCTCCGTAGCACACCTCTGCAGAGGGCTAATGCTTGAGAACTGGAGAGAGACAGAACTGCAGGTCCTTGGGTGCTGGGAGGCAAGAGCAGCGCTGGCAGCCAGCACATCTTGTGTCCCCTGCCCTCTGCTCATTACTCTGTAGTGTTGTCACCAACTACTGGAGTAGTTCAAACGCTCCCCTCTGAGAGAAAGCCTGCCATAGTGTGACTCCCGTTTGGAGGAAAAGTGTGCTTGAAAGACACTACCTCTGGTTAGAGCCATGGCATGCTGGTCCCCACACACTATTTGAACAATGTCATGGTTGCCTAGTTCCTTCACCAGCCTATAAGAAAAGGAAATAGATAGATGCTGTATCATGAGGCAAAGTTAAGGAAGAAGACTCTATGCTCATCAAGTCCTAGCACATTTAGCGTGAATTATATAAAAAAATAAAGGTCACCTGTAAGTTGATTCATCCTGCTCTTATGCTATCCTCCTGCAGCAAGGCTAACTGATTTGACTGTGGTTAGAACCATGGGAAGCTGGAAGAGAATCAGGCTCAGCCCTGGGCAAGCTAACAGAAAACCCCACAGCGAGCTGCCATGCCTGTTTTAGATGATGCTTACCCACTCAGCTTAATCAGAAGGTGGCAAGGTTCAGGTGTGCTTGGGTCCTTCACCCACAGTTTCCCGAAGCCATGTGCAGCCATCTGCATTACTCTATTATGTGCTACTGATCCCTATTAAGTAACAGATAAACCTATCTCATGTGCATACCAAGCAGCTCAAATCCTGGTATTATCCTCAAAATCAGTGCACTTCTTGCTGGGTTAAAAAAAGAAAACAGAGTTTGGGGTAATAGGAATGTAATGTGTTCCTTCTCTACAACAGGCCTCAGTCTCTTGGATGTTACCTCTAGGAAAAGCGAACCAAGTTTTCTGACTCTTACCATCCATACCTCCACCCCGTGAAAGTTTCCTACCTTGTCTTAGAGCAGTTAGCTGAAGCTACAGCCCAGTGTTCAGAAAGCTTCCCATCAGGGGAGAGAACAAGCCTATGTGTTGCATCATGGTTTGAGCATTGCACCTTCTCCTTCCTCTGCATCCACATGCACTCTGCAGAACAAATACAGACAGGTACGATGGTCACGCTAAGGCAGCAGGCACCTTAACCATCTTGGCCCCCTCCCCAACATCTCTGTGTGCTACTGCTTTCACCATAAGCTTCTGCTCCTCAGGAAAAAGTGAGACAAGTGTGTATGACTTATTTTCTCAGATCTCCTGGGGTTTCAGTGTCCTACCCACTGCTTGGTTTCATGCCAGAGGGCTCTTCTGGCTATCACTAAAAGACATTTCTCCCTCTCTTAGGCTGCTGTGCCACCAGCTCCCAAGACAATCAGCAGAACGCCAACAGAAGCACACTCCATTACTTCTGCACAGCTGAGGAGTGTCCCGGAGAGATAAAGCACTTCCTGAGGTATCTGACTGACTCAAGTTTGTCACAGCCTTGGGATGGGATGCCTTGAAGTCAGAGGTTTTACAAGACCCTGGAGAAGCAATGATGGAAAACTCACACGTTGCCCATTTACAGCAGAAAGAAGTCCTTTCTGGTCTACAGCTAAGGGGCTGCAGATGCTTTCCTGACCCTGAGGCCCCAGATCTGCTCAGTCACTCGCGTGTAGCCCTCTGGTAGCACAAGTGTCTGAGACCCAGGATGCCCAGGCATGAGAGGTGGTCATCAGAGCCTTCCCTGGATATGCCTAACACCTCTGAAGTCCACCCTTCTCACACCTCCCCAGCTCAATCCCAACATGCATCCAGAGAGGAAAACTCGGTCTCCCTCTCTCCTGCCTCCCGTCTGCAGCTCCCTGGGACACCTTCAGGCACTTCCA